TGAAACATCGCTTTCTCCTCCATGTCGCGTTTCAGTCTGGACTTCAGAGAGTCAAAGCCAAAGTTAATTTCCCCCAATTCCTTTTCCCCATGGGCGAGATAAACCCGACTAGGAGTCTTTACTTGTTGTGGACCAGAGAGTCGGAGAACCCGACGCAGTCTGTATAAAGATTCATATATCAGAGAATACCGCCGTCAGTTCGGCCGCGGCGCAATGAATGAATAAAGATCGTAATTATTTTACAACCTCGTTGATGAGCAACATTTAGAAAAACATGGACTTTAAATTCAGCCTTGGGTTAAATCGAAGCGTAGTGTGTACTGAATGCACGTTGATGAAGATACACTCCTATAGGCACGGCACCGGCTTCCTCCATCTTCTGCGCCAGCTTTTTAAATACATCGCCGACCCAAAGTTAGTTGACAGCTGTCTACTGAAAACATATTTCTCCCACCAGAACAGCCCTGAATGAATGAATAAAGGTCGTAAACACGTCGGGAGAAAAAAAACATTTATTTTGACAGATGTGCCCGAAGTCACTACTTTACAACCTCGTTGATGACCCACATTTAGAAAAACATGTACTTTTAATTCAGCCTTGGGTGAAATGGAAGCGTAGTGTCCGCGTGCTTCCACCTTTAATGAATGCCATGCGCGCTCCCGCGGCCGGGACACAATTCTTATAGCGCCACCTTTTTAAATAAATCGCCGTTTCTTGTTATCCCTTATCCGACGGCGACAACAACAACAACAACAAGACTATCGTCTCCTTCTACTTCCGGTTCACGGCCCCGGGAAAAGATCTCGAGCATGCGCAGAACGCAATTCAACGGATAATCCAATCCGACTGGTTACATGCACGGCTTAGTCGGCTATGGATCGCATAATCTAGGGGTCTTAACCTGATAATGAGAGGGTCGACTCGAACCGATTTTAACCTGATTAAGGTGTATACATGCATCTTAGTAATCCAATCATTGTTGGGTTAAGCCAAAAAGTCGACTTTCTTGAGTGTCATGTAAACGCACTGACTCTCTCTGCCTCTGTATCCTCCCCTTACTGTGTATCACCCCCACTCTTTACCTCGCGGCTCTCTTCCTCACACTCTTCCTACTTCACTTTCTCATTCACAGTCTCTCTCACCCTTACTCCCTCCCTCACACTCTCTACCTGTATCTCTCTCTTCCCCTACTATGTATCTCCCTTACTCCCTCTCTACTGAAGGTATGGTTATATGTTAGATCTATCAGATGACCAATGAATTGGGTCACACTAACCTCGGTGCCTTTCTGCTGAAGTAAGACAGAAGCATGAGATAAGCAGAAGCGTGTAATCATAGGAGCGAAACTCCACATGATCAGAACGAGTACATTGTTGGTGACATGTGCAGAATACATGGCGATAATCATATGATAGTAAAGAACAGGCAGGCTTGTCTTTGAACATGTAAAGAACAATGGGAGTCAGATAATATGAGGATGACATGGGGAAACGTAGACAGCCAGCCTTTTGTGATGACGGTTGCATTGTTTGTGTATATAACATCCTGAGATAGAGAGATGTGTGCTCAGACTTTGCGAACTGACACACACATACTTTGTTGTTGGGTCAGGGAAATGTAGTCGGGCCCAGATATATCTGTAAAACTCTGCACATTATACTGGTGTTAACAATAAAACTGATTATTTCTTAAAGCTAAACAACTTCTTCTATCGCTTCATTAACGAACACGCGTGAGTAGGGGTTTCATTTTTTTCCATCATCATCACTTTGAAACCGCCTCTCACAACACTACCTAACACTCTCTACCTTACATCACCATTTTACTCACCCTTACTCTCTCCCTCACTCTCTCCCTCACACTCACTATCTCTCCCGTACTCTCTCACTTACACTCATCCTTACTCTCTCGCTCACAATCTCTACCTCTCTATCTCTCTTTCCCTTACAATGCATCTCCCTTACTCTCTCTCTCCCTCACCCTCTCTTACTCTCTTTTCCTCACTATCTCACTCTACCTCACTATCTTACTCTCTCTCTCTCTCTCTCTCTCTCTCTCTCTAGAAGAGAGACCGTTACAAGGACACTCACTATGTTCAGGGCGTTGTCTTATGCTCTGTGAAAGTCCCTCTTTTTTAAGTGTTCTTGCGTGAACACGGGTACACATTAGCCTGAGTTGTTTGGCTTTCCGATCTTTTATGGCCTTCGGACATTACAAGGAACGAGTCAAGTGACTAGTTATCTAAGAGGAGGTGGTTCAGAAAGGCTGTTGTTGTGACAGCATCACAGTAACAAGGTGTACGTGTCTTAGTTTAGCTGCCCCTGTAGCGTCGGAGTTGGCTACTCATGAGTCCTGAGTTAGTTTCTCCTGAGTTTAGCTTAGTGTCAGGGTCAGCTACTCCTGAGTTTAGCTTAGCATCAGCGTGAACTACCTCCGAGTTTAGCTTAGCGCCAGAGTTTATCTTCTCCTGTCATGTCGCCCGTCAGTGCTTGGTGTTAGTCTGAGATGTGCGTGCGTGGCTCTTTGAATGTCTTCCCAGCAGCGTTCCAAGCTCAGAGCGAACCGGAGCTAATTGAACTGGATTAATGAAGTTATTGCCTTAGATTTAAAAGATTTAAAGTGAGGAAAGTCCCGAGAAACACTGTGGAGGAGATTTTGATCTGGATAGATTTATTGTAGAGTACGTCTTGAAATGCCAAGAGTCTGTTGCCTTGAAACAAGATTAGTGGGTTATTCATTTGAAAAGAAGCACATTACCGTCACACATTATCAAGTGTATCCAAGAGTCATTTTTTAACTTCATCAGTACAAAAGGAAGAACAGTAGATTGTCCTGTGTAAAGTGATCTGTTTGTATATTTAACGCCATTGACAGTGATTTATTTGTATGAACAATGGGGATGTTTGTCATTGGTTAGCTTTACAACCTCTTCAATGACATAGTGTTTTAGGAAATAAAACTGTGTCTATGTTATATCAGCCACTCCCATAAAGCTGTGGTCTTCCACCCTTTTCCCAGAACCTCAATTATTTTTCGTACAACAAACCAGAAGTCTGTCAGGCATGCTGAAGTGGGGAGCGTTGGCATGGCGACACAAGGGTACTGATAGCCATCGATTTGGAATCAAGTCGAGACAAGAAGAAAACTATTTTATTTCCAATTCATATTTGACGGGCTCTACGGACATTACGCCATTTCTACCGTTTAGATGTTAACATTTTGGTGAAATAGGAATTGACAACCATTGTATTGTTACATTGCTGACTTCACTAGCGTCACACAACACACATTAATGTGTTGCCCGAAGGCAAGACAACATATCTCACAATAAAAAGAGACAACAAACAGATTAAACCTAAATCCAGTTGGTTTAAACTCTTTTGGATACCAGTTTGTTTAAATCAATCACATAAACAATCACATCTCAACATTAATATTCTATATTAATAATACCAATGATGATGATGATGATGTTTGTCTGCAGGTGACCACACCCTCGCTGCCTACGGTGGTGAAGATGGGACATGCCTACGCTGGCATGGGCAAGGTGAGTTCCCATAAACACGTACACGTTCACACGTTCACACATGCACGCACACACACACACACAAATATGTCCACAGTACACACACACACACACACACAAATATATCCACACAAACACACCCACGCACATGCACACACACACACACGCGCACACATACACACACACACACACACACACACACACACACTTCATGAATACCAACCAACGCACATTTTTCATAAGCAAACATTGACCAATCCACCCACATTCACCCAAACAAATACACACACATACACACACGCACACACACACACACACACACACACACACACACACACACACACACACACACACACACACACACACACACACACACACACATGCAAGGCAAACAGACAAATATACACGTTCTTACATTTGCAGCCAAAAGGCACTTGGACTTTCCCAACACATCATCTACAAAGCATTGCAGAAACACTCTCAGATAAGGTTGGACTATTACAATGTGCATGTTCTTATCATATTTGCCAGCTGTGTGACAAGGGGTCTGCTTTCTCACAGATCTTTGTAACCATATTTCTGGTTGCTGTCGATGATGATTTCAACAAAGTTTTGTTGATGCAATTTCTCACTGAATACCTCATTTAGGTCACATGATCCACCAAACATCAGGTCTGATTTAATATGAAGGCTAGTGGGGGGGGGGGGAATTCTCACTGCATCGTGACAGTGTAATGTAAGTACTGTTACTATTTATTACTATTATACAGCAATTTAACAGACACTTTTATCAAAAGCGACTTACAGGGAATAAAAAAAAAGATGTCATCAGGTTAGGGCATCTTGCTCAGGGATGCTTATAGGTTGAGCTGCGGGACATTGGGGATCGAACCCAGTGCCTTTTGGCTGGGAGTGGAAACCGCTAGCCGTCCACTACACTCTTGCCCTCTAAAGTAATGAAACATTGCCAGAACAGACTCCCTGCTCCCTCAGTTCACAGGGGAGCACGAAGAGGTTTCTCCTTGAAGCAAAAGCAAAGAAATGACCGCCTCCTCCATTCTCACTCCCTTGTGAGGTCAATGGAGTCAAGCGAGGTGGTCCTGCTCCACAATCTCCCGCCAACAGGAAACCCCTTCAACGGAAAGAAGAGACAGACGGACGGACGGACAGAAAGAAGAGACAGACAGACGGACGGACAGAAAGAAGAGACAGACAGAAAGACTGGCAGAAAGGCGGGAAAGGGTCAACCTGTAGGAAGTCCCCCCCCCCCACCACTGAGGAATGTGAGAATGTACGTAACATGTGGGAGTAGGAGTAAGGGAGAGAGCGTGAGAGAGATTAAAATAGAGAGACAGGAAGTGACAAGGATACACATATAGGGGAGGTGAGGAGGACATTCTTGTGACGTTAGTAAGAGATGAGAGAGAGGTAAAATAATACATTTTAACAACATACCTCATATGTTAATCATGTGGTCCTGACTAGCTCAACTGGTAGAGCGTGGCATAACGGTTAGGGGTTCGATTCCCACTGGGACCACCCATGCTAAAGTGTTGTAAGACCCTTTGGATAAAAGCGTCCACCAAATGGCATGTATTATTTTTATTAATAATTATGTTAAAGGCCGGTTTATCTTTCTGCCCCCATGAGTTTCAGATTTCCATTGTTGTCTTAAAACACTAATGGTGCTCTGCTTTGGTTCACAGAACACACAATCACATTTTTCCATTAAAACTAATCTATGATAGAGTAAGTGGGATTTGGGCAGAGTAAATAAGCGAACCCCTTGTGCATGCACAGGGCTTTCCCCCGAAGGCCAATCCACCAAAGCTTTGGAGCACATTGTATGTCATCACAAATTACATTAAATTAAATTCAATCATAAAGCTTTTGTTTTCATGAAGTAGTTCCAAAAGAAGCCCATATGGAACTACTTATATTCAATAATATTTATAATAATGACTATGTTAATAATAATATCATGAAACTGCATGCACTGCAACCTTTTTCTTCTCTCTTCATCTCTGTAAATTGCTTTTCTTCTGCGCCATCACCACCACAGTTGCACATTATTGGCTCTTGGGCGTGTTGCGTAACACACTGGATGGCTTCACATGTTAGCACGTGTGCGTCGCTAGGTCTCGCCCACCGCTGGCGCTGTCTCAGGGTGTCGGGTTCTGCCGCCCGGTGCCAAAGTGCCAAAGTACGCGCTTCGTGCAAAATATTTTCTTTGACACAGCCGTGATCTGTCATTAGTCATTCTCTCACGCCACGCTGAAGCCAAACTTTGGTTTATCTTTATTTTGCAAGCACCAAATCATAAAATACCCATTATAGCGACAGTGTTGCCAAGTGTCCCTGCCTTCACAGAATGACTCTGGCTGTTTAAATGAGGCCTCTCCAGCCTCTTTGTTAGTCTTTGTATGGACTAAATGTGCTCTGGGGAAGCTTGTTTACATGTACACAAATCAGCCAATCCCCATCGCTGTAAAGTATTAAAGTATTACCATGTTTATACCAACGGACATGTCATAGGCAAAATGTAAATATATCAGATATATGGACTACAAACTACAACTAACCCCGTTTTTCATTTCAGAAATCTGGTCACCTTAGATTAACAATGTAAATTGCAATTATGAAACCCAGATAAGTAGCTGGATTACTAGCTAGCTACATGACTAGCCTGTTAATGAGCTAGATAGCTAGTTAGATAGGTAACATGTAGATAGATGTGTGCCATTGATTTTGTACTTTTGGCCTGTGTCCAATAGCAAACATTTGCTCCTTTCAGTATGAACATGTTGATATGCTAATGGAGGATGACATTGATGACATAATCCTTAACTTGATTCAGCTGTAGTCCTCTTCCATGACGTGCTCTGCCTCTGTTCACTACACGTCTGCAATGTCATTGTAATGTGCTTTATTTAATTGAGACATTTTTATTTTTGCTTAATGGCTGGCAGTAGGCTAATATGTTGCTTATTTTATTTAATTTACTTTTAGTACATTGCTCATTTGAGTTGCTTATTTCTCTGTGACATCAGGGCCAAGATGAATAAAAAGTATTATTTAAGTCAGTTTATGGACCCTAGCTGTGGTGTATTTACAGCTAGCACTTTTGGACGCTAACTGTGATATATTTACAGCTAGCGCTGGTGGATGCTAGCTGTGGTGTATTTACAGCTAGCGCTGGTGGATGCTAGCTGTGGTGTATTTACAGCTAGCGCTGGTGGATGCTAGCTGTGGTGTATTTACAGCTAGCGCTGGTGGATGCTAGCTGTGGTGTATTTACAGCTAGCGCTGGTGGATGCTAGCTGTGGTGTATTTACAGCATGGCAGAACTTGTTTGATGGTCGCTCGTATGTGATGTAATGTTTGTTTGTGGGCTTTGTTATTGTGCACTACACACAGTCCATCAAATGCATGATACATACACACGCGCTCACACGTACACACGTACGCACGCGCTTGAAGTGATTCAGCCGTTTATTGACCAATAAAACCATCAAAGCTCATTTCGACATTGAAACCGCCATGTGCATTTTGTTTGAGATTTGAAAGCAAACCATAATGCTCCACGTTTTGTTTCTCATTTGAATTATCTATTTAGGGTTAATTAGGTCCCACAGCATAACGTAGTTCTCGTGGTTTTCAATGTTCTCAGTTGATTGTTTGAAGTCTATTGTGTTGGCTCCAGTTACACATTTAAACACGTTTTAATCAAGTGTTTATGACTTTGTGTATGTGTGAATGCAACCCAAACCTACAAAACAAACCCACAGCACACTTGAAGGAGTCTCAAACTTGAACCATGAATGAATGAAAATAAAAAGTATGTAGCCTATAACTGATTTATATTGACACTTTATTAACACCCGTCTAACACAATACTTGTGATGCTGTATGGCAAAAATGAGTAATGGGCGATGTTGAAAACAATACATTTGCATCAGTGTAGGCCTATTTCCATTATTTTCCTTTTATTTTCCCAAGACGACAAAAAAAAATACTGATAATTGAGACAATTCAGATCATTTTACTGCGTACTAATGAGTCATTTATGAGACTTTTATCCAAACGATGAATACAGATACATCATTCAGGCACAGGTAGGGGTTGGTGGAGGACCGAACCCAGAACCTTTCGGTGTGTAGTACACCCTCGCGACACTATCCTGTCTGATAACTATTATCCACACAGAGACATTTTGTCATTCACAAACCTGTTAGGAGTACTAGCGTGTAAACAATATACTGTACGTATATCCGTTCCCAAAGTAGTAGCCACCGCCCAATAATGAAGGCCTCCCATAACAAAGAACACGACACGGCACTTAAAAAAGCTAATTCGCTAAAGGCCACAAAAAACACGACAGGATACACTCACACCTAATGGCCCAGGACAGGGCAGGAAAACTCGAGGCTTAAACGTGTTCTCCCCTCAATGTTCCTGTTATGTTTCCACCCAGGAGCCTCTCATTACGCTGTCTGTTTTTAAGTGGGAGAAGTCCTGTGGGATCCGAACCCCAACTGCCGCTGTGCTGCAATGGCCGTCCTTTGTAATTACGCTTAACGAGCCGGCACCTCTCTCTCTCTCTCTCTCTCTCTCTCTCTCTCTCTCTCTCTCTCTCTCTCTCTCTCTCTCTCTCTCTCTCTCTCTCTCTCTCTCTCCACACAGATCAAAGTGGAGAGTCAGCAGGACTTCCAGGACATTACCAGCGTGGTTGCGTTGGCGGGGACGTACGCCACCTCCGAGCCCTACGTCCAGTCCAAGTACGACATCCGCGTCCAGAAGATCGGCGGCAACTACAAGGCCTACATGTAAGAGAGAGAGAGCCTCGTAAAAAACACACAGCCTCTCGTGTCTTCCAAGTGAATTAAAAGTGTTGGCCTCTAAGGGCATGCAAGCCCAGCGACCGTGACGCTTACTTTCCGCTACGTCGCTGACGATGTGAGACATGCGTAAAGTGCTACAGTGTAAGGTGGCAAACCGCTCCCGAGTGGAAGACCTGACGTGCGCTCATGCAGGGAAAACATGCTGTGTTAAAAAAAAAAAACGACTTGTGTAATACATGGTATGGTCCTGGTGGTTTGTCACTTAGTAAAAAAGAAGCAGTTGCGTTTGAATATTAGGTTGAGCTGCGCACATTGATTTGAAAACTTTATCAGTTCTGTCAGAAATCACTCATGTCATAGATTTAACCGTTTTATTGCATGAAATGGTGATACACTTTACTCTTTTGGAGTATGACATACAGATGTCAGATACAGCGTACCAACATTTGACAGCAGGGAGCGCTGATGTACCCCCCCCCCCCCCCCCCCCCCCCATGGGGGTACATCAGATATCTCTACCCATACAATACAGAGCAGAACTAAAGCGGGGGGGGGGGGGGGGGGGGGGGGGGGTGAAATCCAGCTTAGCACTTAAGTAGGCAGACAGTGTTTGTGTGAGGTAGGTCTTAAATTGACTGCCTATGCTAGAGTTGCATGACTAGAGTGTCCTGCCAGAACTCGCGCCGCCAATAGGATTTATTGATTTATATATACATATATTCACATCAAAGTATTGTGTTCTCCAAATTCTGATACATTATTACATTATTATTATTATTATCAATGCCGCTAATAAATCCACCTTGGGCCTGTATTACAAAGGCGATACTGTCCCTATGAACCACAAGCAGACCCTCTTCTGCGAAGTGCGTACGTGAGATCATTCAGTGGGCATCTTCATCGTCGTCATCATCATCACACCCACTCAGAAAGACCTCACCTCATGCAGTGTATATTCAACCAAACCGCTGACCATGTGACTTGCTGAGTCAGCTGTGCCCCGCCCTCAACCTTAATTTCCCCTCATCCCTTGAGACCTGAGTCATGAAGTCTCTACACACACACACACACACACACACACACACACACACACACACACACACACACACACACACACACACACACACACACAGAGTCAACTCAACAATAGTCTAAACAGGATAACAGCTGGAGACGACAGACATCTACTCCCTAATAAGAGAGAATGACCAAGAGTTGGTGTCCTGTTGTTGCCTTCCTTATCTAGTCCATTAATGTGATCTCTGATTCAATTCTTATGGTTTCCTTTTTGGGGGCTTTTAGGAGGACGTCCATTTCTGGGAACTGGAAGGCCAACACGGGGTCGGCCATGTTGGAGCAGATTGCCATGACGGACAGGTGGGTGGGTTCCTTGCCATGATGAACCAATGACCGTCCAATCTACCGTATCACAGTGATTTGCCTCAAACCCTCTTACAGAAGGTCGTGGCTTCATTTTAACATGGCGATGACCACATAATAAAACCGGGAAAAAAAACCTCTAACCATTGAAATGTCGATGTATCAACGCTTGATTTCTGTTGGTTTTTATTTGTATTGAACGGTGTGAATGAATGACATTTTCGTTGGTGTGCTGCACCACTGAGATATGGATGTCTGTCTGATATCTACGGGTCACCTGAGGAGCGACATGTGGATGTGTTCCAGATATCGCGTGTG